ACTAACACTTGTAATCCTTCCTTATTAGTAATTTGGATAGCATAATTGGGATATATTTTACTGATAATTCCTGAGAGGAAAAGGTGGTCGGCTCTCAAACAGAACGCACAGTTTTACGGCTGCCACCTCTCCTGGCTCCGTTTTTTGTAGCGATTATCCCATTGAGCCAACAATTAAGAAACACGGCCTATCAATTATACCTCGATTTACTGCCCGAAGTTAATTTTTCCTTAACCTGCGAGGAGGCCCCTAATATTGGCAAAGCCTATCGTCGCCAAGATGCGATTGGAACCTATTATTGTCTGACAGTCGATTTTCAAACGGCCCAAGATAACACCCTGACACTTCGCCACCGCGACAGCATGAAACAAGAGAGAATAAACATCTCCAACCTTAAAAATTACTTATATAATTTATATGAAAGACACTGGTTCGAATTCTCGCAAAAATAGACAACGAAGAGACGATACGTTAATCTATATCCTTTTAATTTTGCTGCTGACCCTATTAATTGGTGGTTTGGGATATTGGTGATGGCAACGCTCCCACCCAAAAAATAATTGAGTTTACGACTATGAAAGCGCACTGGGAAAGTGAACCGACACTCCCAAAGCGGAAGATCTCAAACGTTTGATACTCGGCAATCGCGAACGCTGAAAAACGGTAAACAGATTTTTAAATGACAAAATGAGGAGTCGGAAATTAACTGACAAGGAAAAAGCTGAAATCCGTGAGGAATTGAAGGGTGTTAACATGAAAGCAGATGAAATTTTAAAAGAACAAAAATTATCGGAATTAGACCCTTCAACTATTCCCCAATTCTACAAACATTTTTACGAGCAAGGCAAAATGTTGATTAGAGCAAGGACCAAAGCGTCCGTTAATCGGACCAAGGAGGAATTGAGGCGTCAGCAAGAAACTCAAGAAAAATGAAGCATTTCTGAAGCCGAGGAGAGAGAAGTCAACAAGCAAATGAAAGTCTGAGTAGACAAATGGTATAATCAAGCCAAAAAAGATATAATGCCGAAGTATGAAAGTAAGGGAAAATGGCCTAGAAATCGAAACTTTCTTCCTGAAAAGATTAAAGGCAAGAAAGTATCGGGTTATCCCCCCCCAGATGCGACTTTTAATTTTTTTCTGGACGTGAATAATATGAATAGAAGTAGTGGAAAAGAACTGATTGTCCTATTCCAAAAGCCTTTTCAAGTCAATTACATAGGCTATGATGGCTTCCTTACATCCGAGGATAAAAAAAACACCGAGGAAGGAGAACTTTTTGGTATAACTGATTATGGAAAATTGGAAGGAGATGAGTGGAATGATGGAACTTCATATCGAGCGTGGGGAAAAGGTGATAACATAAAACCAATACGAATTAGATTAAAAAAAGAAATATTTTTTAATCGGTTGGGTCACGAGGAATGATTAAAAAAAATAGATGAAAAAGGAGCGAGATTTTATGATGATATCTGTTTTGAAGCATTGGCGGATACTATTGCCCATGAATTGGCTCACGCCATAGTCGCCACATTTGAGTTTAAATATGAGGGTGAAGAAGAAGGAGGTCACGGCAAATTATTCTATGACATATGCAAAGAAATAGAAGAAATGGTTAGAGCAGACCCGAAATTTAAAGACTTTGAAAAATGATGATATTTAGCCTAATAAATAATGCCTAAAATCAATATTGCCATTGACGGACCAGTCGGCTCCGGTAAA